AAAGAAAGAAAAGAAAAAGAGTCAAAGCAGTTTAAGACTAAAATTTCGCTTATAACGCTATTATGATTAAGACGTTGACCAACTCAAAGACAGATCCATTGTTGTTGATGCTCCCAGCACAGAAAGCAGAAGCAGCAGCAGCAGCAGCAGCAGCAGCAGGGTTCTGCTGGGTTGATAAAGTGCTGGAAAGGCAGCTGCTGCTTGTTCAGGGCAGATCAGCTTAGCACAGTCAGTCCAAGAAGAACTTTGCTTCTGGTCTCATTAGAGGCTCTGTTTTTACTGCTTTGAGACCAGGAATGTGTGGCAGTGAACATAGTTATGATTATCTTTATTAAATTAATCTCTATGGTAGAACCCTGGAGATCTGACACCATCTTTAAATGTTTCCAGTTTGTTTTGCTACCTGCTGTTCTCAATGACCTGGCCAACTACAACTACTAATAATAATATCGACCAAAAACAACATATTGCTGAGCACTGAAGCACTAAAACGTTCACTAACAGAAGCTGTACAGCACCATGTGGTTTACAGCCGTTCATTTCTGAACCCATCAGCCATATTAGATCCTTCTACTTTCCAAGTCTGAATTCCTACTTCACAACTCAGAGTTCAACAAGTCCAACTTCAGAGTATAAATGAATCACATCAGAGACCCTCCTGGACAGAAACCTTCACAACTACATTCAACAAGAAAGCAAAAGCCAAGTTTTCATCCAAATAGTTTTTGCTAAGCAGGTCAAGTTTTGCCACAGAGGTTTTATCATCGCCAAACACACACAGAGTGTGTTATATTCAAACTTTATCACAGGACACAACAGGGAGGCTCCACTCCAACAACCATCATTAAGAAATGCTACTATATTAGATGTTAGTCTCTAACTAAAAGCATATTAATAATCATTTAGCATGAAAACATCTATAGCAACATTCCTGAGTCAAAATCAACTGCAACATAACTATAGAGTCTAAGTATATTTTCTGCCAGGACTAAAAAGAAATTTAATATTTAGGTGGCATTAGCAAGCACACAGACATAAACAGAGCTTAAAAGAGGAGCCGATATTATTGGTAAATATTCTGATTATAATATCAGTTACATTACATGTATTTATTTTATTCGCCGCCTCATTTCTGATTCCAACACTCTGTAGACTTCAGCATCTTGGTTGCTGCCTCTGTGTCAGGTGTGAGCTTCTAAAGCACAAAGACTCAACAAACTGAGTATTACATGTGCATGTGAGCTGATAATAGGTTACTGCATTCTAAGCATGGCTTTAGCAATTTAAGTATTTAAGTTGTTGCAGAAGCAATAACTTCTGGAACAATTTATTGTCCTACCTATGATAAATTGTCATAATAAATTTGTTATTGTGACAGGCCTAAATATTAATACGACACACACCAATATCGTGATGGCCTTACATGTGTCCAGCCCTATATGGCATATCTGGAAAGTATTTGAAGCATTTTCATTTTTTTCACATTATATATAATGTGAAAGGCATTATATATAAAGGGATTAAAACAATTTGGTTTTGAAGGGATATGAAAAGCTGGGTCCTTATCAATGTCAAATTTTAATATTGCCATTACGGGCAATAATCGATATTTAAATATATTCGATTAAACTTTCAGCACATGCTTCGGCTCAACGCCCCAAACCAATGTCATACGGCCGTGAATATCACATGGCTGACCCCGCCGCCTCCAGAAACACACACACACATATATGTGCACACACACAAGTAGCAATAAAATGGACAAAATAATGGGTTGCTCACAAGCACAATTTCACTTCTAGGACTAATAACAATGTTTAAAAATGACTTACATTAGAGCTGGCCATTTATTATGTTGTTTATCAATTATCGTGATAAATTTTTTTTGTTTGGAATCTTTATTTACCGTGGTCACAATAACGTGATGTGTAAAATCTCACAAGAACTGTCCGTGTTGTGGGGATTGTTCATTTTTATTTTCTGCATTACTTGTTCAAGGAGAGTATCAATAAATAGCACTACATTTAAAACTATGATTAAATGCAGTTAGTGTGTGAAGCTCAGTGATACATATTTCTTCATGTGAAGAGCATTACAATTGGGACTACTTTCCAAGAGGCCATTATTGCTACGTCATACAGTCACAGTCATAACGTTGCCTGAAAAAAAAGTAATAAATACTTCACATCAACATTTTTGTCTTTAATACAATAGCATCACAACATATTGTGGTAAAACTTACAGTCTATATCGCCCACCCCTAACAAACATTGCAGATATATTATGATTCTAATATTGATACAGTTTGTCCAACCTTTAATCTTGACGGTCGGGGAGTTGGGCCCGGCGGACTGCTTCCTCCATCCTCTCCAGTTCTGGCAGAGGCTCTCGGCTTCGGAGATGAAGGAGCACAGGGAGTCTTCCTCAAACCTGTCTGAGTCTTCAAAGGAGAACCTCTCCCCATCCTCCCACTCAGCAAACATCAGTTCCATCACATCAACTTTTCTGGATGATTTTAGAATCTAGACGGCTGTGGCTTCGCGCTACAGAAAGTCCAGAGGACTGAGGAGCAAACTCCAGGACGGTTCAGATCTGGAGGGGTCAGGTTCAGGGTCAGGGAAAGAGCATCCAAAACACAGCCTGACAGCTCACCACTTGGCCCCAAGCATAGCTACATGACAGAAACACTAATCGAGTTGTGCTCGAGCGATCAAACTTAAATTTATTTACAATAAGAAACTACACTGACAATGTGTCTATATGTCAGAGTCCTACCTTCTATCTAAAGACCAAGGCTGCATTTAACTGCACTCCACGTTTGGCTGACTGTACCAAAAACTCCTGCCTTAAAAGGCCAACAATTTCATGACACCAGCGATGTCAGTTCACACTCTGCAGTCGTGATGTCTTACTCGTCAGGAAGCTTTTCAACCTTCAGCAGGGACAGAGCTATCATTTCACTCTCAGGGAATCAGAAAGTTGTTTTCCTTCATCCCCATCTCCTTTCATCCAATCAGCTGCACCGTGCTAACAGAAAACATCCCGGTTCATGTCAATCACAAGTGTCATGACTAATTACTGAAATATATGACGTGTTCAGGCGAAATCAGCCCGATGCTGGGTCGCGTTTAACGCTCAGTTCTTATTACAAAGGGAAGCTACAGAAAATAACTGTACGCGTTAGCTTACACGCTAATGTTACAATAATAAATGCAAACATGGAAAAGACAAACAAACACCAGCCGCTCGAGACAGCAACACTGAGACTAAATTTAGTTGGCAGCAGTTTGTTTCCGTTTATGTCGGTTTTCTGTACTTCAGTCCTGCTACCGTACATAAGCTGTGTACATTAGCAGCTGAGTGCTAACCAGAAGTCGGCTAACTAAAGCTAGCTGTTTGTTTACAGGCTAGGCTTCTGCTGCACTCCGTGAACTGCGGCGACCGGAAGCGTCGTCGCGTAGCCGTCCTCCTGTATTTAAACAGCTTACAACTGCTCCATATTTCGATATTAATCCCTGCTGGTTTTCCGTCCTTTGTTAATGATGTTAGAGGCTTTTGTGTCGAACGTTAACAGCTGCTATATTCCTCTGTCAGAACTGCTCCTTCCTAATTCCTGCACGGTTTCCTCTGGTTGTCCTGGCCTTTTAAAACCCGCCTGTCGCCTTCGAATGACACCGACATCCTCCTTGTTTTTCTAGTAGGTCTTGCGCGAAAGCTCCGAGTCCGTATCCGTCTGCCGGGGGAAGATGGCTCACCTTTTTTTCAGCTCTTCCTCCATCAGCTGATCTCAGCTTCCGGCTGCCAGCTAAACCCTGTAACCTACATTCACATAGTAGGAGAGGAGGAAGACAGGATAGAAGACGAGGAGGAGAGGAGAGGAGAGGAGAGGAGAGGAGAGGAGAGGAGAGGAGA